ATGTCACCCCATTAACCAATTTAGTGCTTAGTTTTTTTTTGTTATATTGCATTACTTAATAAAATCTTGTAAGTTTACAGCAGCATAATTAGATTCTCATTTTCAAGCAGACCTCTTAAATCCATTATCGTGTATATTGTACAATAAATTCAGCCGCTGTACGGTCTCTCAAAATCCAAATAGTCACTAAAATTTGCTAATACTCACTTTATTCACTTTATATACAAACTCACTTAATTATTATTGTAAACTAAATATACAACACATCTTCTACAACTTAAAAATTTTTTTAAATAATTTATATTAGCATTTTATTAACAAGTGTTAAAGTAACACTTGTAATTGATTATTGAATAAATACCATTGAGAGTTTCTAATCGTATATGATATATCGAAAGTGATTATTAACGCCAATAATTTCATTTGTTATGATAGCAATGATGACCTTATATGCGCATATGAATCTAATAAGATGAACATAAAATACCAACAATAATTTTCGTAAATTTATAAATACTTGTATATACATTTCATGTAACCAAAGAATATTTTATAAATATTATAAGATTATTTTTAGTGTGATTATAATATAAATGTGAAGCTGTATAATATAAATCTATACATTTTATGGAGATTAAAATACAAGAAGAATTTTCTGTTCATTTTAAAAGTATTTGTTGTTACAATAGTACTTTTGCTAGGATAAGGAAAAATAGGGATAGTAATATCAAAAAGTACGAATAAATACACATAATTTTCTTGTTCGAATCAATGAATCCTAGCCTAATGAATATTTCATTATTTTTACTGCGTACAACGTCTGCAATATGAAAGGTATTGCATTTTCCACAAATTATGAAGCCGAAAATTTCTACATATAAATTCACTTCACCGAATATAAGAGCAATTTTTAACGGAATGAATTGTGCACTTTCACTATACGTTAAACTTAGTTCAAAAACAACGGTCCAGGATTCGAAGGAGCCAATTATTTTTCATCATTCTTTGATTAGCCTATTTCAATTTTAATATTTAAATTTGAAATTTTAATTACTTTAAAGGTATACTTATACACTTTATTTAGGTGTCATTATTTCTACAACTTTTCTTGTGACCTTAATAGTAAAACAATGATTTTACTATTATTGTATAATGCCAAATACAAGTGTATGACGCTTGCATTATCTTATTATATTTTTCGAGCGCATGTCATTGTATCATCATTGTATCATAAACACAAGTTGTTTTTGACTTCTCTAATAGAAATTTAACTTTAATGCTCTTAAAATTTAAAGAAAAATAAAATAATTTTTATTACAAATATTTCTTTATATATACTATATAGATACAACATTTACTTATAAATTTACACAAGCACTTGTTTATTATAGTTTTAAATGAAGAAGAAAATAAGAGAACGCAAAAAAAAAGAACTTCATTTATTGCAAAGATATACGTTTAATGAAGAGTTTTTTATTACCTTGTGGGTAATAATACAGGATTTTTAAAGTGTCTGTTTCAGTTTGAGTGCGCACTCTTCTCCTCTCCCATATTGGATTTGATACGAAACTAAAATGTACAAAATTTATTCTTTATTTTATTTCTTGATCATTTTTATGATTGCAATAGGTTTTCTACATTCGTAACATTAAAAATTAACAATGATAGTAAGTTTATAATATTGAGTTTTTTTTTATTGATTTTTGTTTTTCATTTTTATTATGATTATTGTTAACGTTTTGCAATTTGAAGTCTTACTAAAAATTGAAATTTAAAATTTTGTTAATAGTATAGATTCATAGCTTTCATTTGACATTTTAAATTGCATTTGACACTAAAAATTCGAAGTGAATGTTCAGTTATTGCAAATCATAAATTACTATTTTCAAATTGTGGTCTACACTCTGGAATAGACCATTAAATATAATTGTGGTTATTGAAAAATATTGAGACTGCTAGTGAACAAAAATTGTTCACGGGCAGTCTCAACATTCCTTTGAAAATAAGCAGGGAGAAAGCAATGCTAACAACGAAGAGCAATCGGTTTTAACTAATAAATTGCAGCTATAATTGAATAACAAAGGCATAGCTTATGTTTGATTTCAATAAGGCAGAACCACGTGTCATATAATTAGTTGAAGAGTTATTTCTATATTTGCGTTTGGTTGTTAGAGGGTTTTGTTAGTTAAGAATAGTCTGGTTGCGTGAACCGTTTGGTGATTTGATTAGTTCGATAAAATTAGGTTCAGTAAGCGAACCAAAAGCTGTTATTTTGTTATACAAAATCGTTAGTCTATTAACAAAAAAGGCAGTCGTAATTACTGCTTAATCGCGTGCGCTACATTCACGAGATTCGGGATCAGAATTTTGTATAAAACGACCGAGACCGAAATTTCATATTTTTCTACTTAATAAATTTTTTATTTTATTTGAATTTAATTTAAAATACTCATTCGTAAACTAAAAGCCTCAAGTTGTTATAAGAAAACTTCTTTTTTATAAAAACAAAAAATACAACCAAATCAAATGTTATAAAATAAAGTGAATTTCACTAAACATTTAAAATAAAGAGAATTTACTTTGTAGATTTTATTCAGAGGCAATATTATTTAAAGAAAAACAACTTAAGAATAAAATTTATGAAAAATATTTAATTCCTTTTCCATACGACAGCGTTAAAATAACAACTTGTCTAAGTTATGAATTGTATTTAACTTGTTTATTTTATTAGATCTTGCAAGAAATCAAAGAGTAAGTATTTATGTTAATAAATGAATCATCTTCTTTATTCGTGTACAATTTTGATATCAGAATTAGCAAAATTTTATTTCTACTAGCTGGTTATATTTTAAGAGCGGATGATTTGACTGTGTGGTGCTTTCAAAATGGATCACAACAATAATATTTAGTTACAATAGCCGTATTAACTCGTGGAGCTTAAAATTTTTGAGGCATACAATAATAATGCCAAGGACATTTACATTTCCTGCAAAAAGAAACAAAAAAAGTTGAAATTATCATACTCGTAAATGACCACGACGCCGTTCTAGCTTATTATTTTAAAGTTGGATGAATCTTTTATTATGCCAGATATGTCCCGTTTCTAAAACTGTTTCCATTGCAGATTGATTCATTTCGGGCTCACATGAGAAGTTTATATTCAAATTGATGCCAAAACATCCATCATGTCTTCAGTTTTTATTTCTGTATTAACTTTTTTTATATTTGCATTTGTAAATCTGTTTTAAAGGCACACTTAAAACGTATGGCAACACATTAAATGATCATCCCACTCATCCTATACCATATATACTTAACAATATTTTTTTTCCCCTTACACTTCACAACATAATATTTGGCATTTAGTCTTAAATTCAAATTTTTATGAATACTTCTAATTGCATTTTTGATCTTTTCCATAACCTTCTTTTTTATATTACTAAATTTTTTTTTTATTAAGTCTGCAAGAATTTCAGAGAGTTCAATATAAATTTAATTGCTTACAATATTTTAGAAATGCTAACATATTATTCAATAATCTGCAAAGTATCTCTCACCAACACCAATAAATCCAAAAAAAAAAAAATAAAAACAAAAGTACCTGTGTGGCACCTACGTAGGAAAAATTATTAAATAATCAGGTTTCCTGTTCAATCGAAAATATTTTTCTTTCAAACACATTTGCAGTTATAATAAGAAAAAGGTAACAAAATAAACTCTAAATTCTTATTGCCTTAGCATGATAAAAAGAAATACATAACGTACATACCTATGCTATACAGAAAAATCAAATAAAATATTCTCTTCTTTTTTACTCTGCCAGTTTTTGATTATATGAAATGAGAAAAATAAAAATGTTCTCTCTGTTTTTTAAATATTTAAGCAATTCTCTAGAGAGATTTAAATTTTTCCTTTATAATTGAGTGAGTAAATAAAATTTACTTACCTACCGGCCATGTAATCTTATAAAGAAAGCTGAGTGCAATTTAAAATATAAGCGAGAGGAAAAAAATTAAAAAAAAAATTAAAAAAAAATGTAGTGAGCAGTGACTAGTAAAATATACAGCACAGGTCCGTGTTTAATCAGCAATTTGTTAGCATTTTAGTAGTACCGTGATCTCTTTTGTTAAATCATTGTGCGCGCGCATGGATTTAACCGTGCGTTAAAATAAACATTTGTTATTCCATAACTGTACTATTTATTTTGTTTTGTTTTTTTTTTTTCCTGTTTTTTTTTTTTTTGATTTATTCAAATTGGAATCAACAAAATTTTAATAAGGAGTATTACCAACCTTGCCGATTTCCTTGTTTTCATTCTTGCTAATATTGTGGATGGAGAATTAGAGAAAAAAGGAAAAAAAAAATTTATGCAAATTATTATAATTTGAACATTCCAATACAAAAACAATAAAAGAAGTGAATCATTACAAAAACATTGAAATTACGAAAGTATATAAAAAATAATGAGTGTTGCCATACTGAATTCATGTTTTGAATTTTGACATTTAGTTTTAGTGAAATACGACTTTGAAAATAAACTTGCATGAAATTTTAAGCATATTTTGAAATATATGAACTTTACAACCATCTTATAATTTTAAGCTACATGTAAATGAAAAGAAGACTTTGTTAATTGATCAATTACAACATGGTTATTCTTTAAAAAAGAAAATTTACTAATAAGCGTGACCGAAGTGATTTATAGTCGCGTGTCGTAAACTACATAAATTTTCTAGCTGATGTACAATTACAAATTTATTTTTTTGTTTTTCCTTAAGTGTAAAATACAATATTTAAATATGTGCTTTATTATTAAAACGAATTTATGTTCTATTTGCTTTAAGTTCCTAACCAACTCATCTTGTTTATAAAGACATATTACAAAAGTATACGTATTTATTAACTTATAAAATAATATGTTTGTTCGATGTTCAAATAAAAGTAAAAAAAAGAACTCGTCCCGCTGAGAATGATCCTAAACAAGCAACGAATAATAAACATTGAAATAAAACCATGGAATAAAGGAAAAAAGATTTCAAAATAATCTTCGTCTTAATATTAGTTAAATAAAAGTAAAATAAGAAATCAACTATGTTAAAAAACATTTTATAAGAAAGCATTGTATCGAAACAATATGAGGCATTAATTTCTATCCAACACATTTAGTTGCTTTTTGTTTAGTTTTTTCTTTGTGCTCTTATACAGATTAAAAGATAATTGCCCGTAAGATATTTGGGCCCTCTTTTTAGTTTTGATCTGTGGTTAATATAGGTATAAAAAAAACAAACTATATTTAGCAATTTGTAAACAATATGAAAAGAAATAAAAATAAATAAACAATAATATATTTGTATTTTACAAGGAAACAAGCCTGAGTACAAAGAAATAATATTTTAGAAAATCATTTCAAATTTGATACAGATTGCAAAGAGTATTGATTTAAACTGCTTTAGTGCTATTCAAAATTCAAAAAATATACGGGTTTTCAAAAACCGAACTAACAGAAATTTATTGGAAAAAGGGTGCTTTTAAAAATTTTTCAAATATCATTTATAACATGGAACAGTTAACAGACACAATTCCAGCGTCAAGTGTTCAATCTAGTATTACAAAAATTCGTAATTCACAAACTTCTCAATCAGGATTATCAACAACTTCAACAATTGATTTTCAGACCCTAGCTGGTCTATTTAATACAGTTGCAGCAACAAATAACACAATAATTACATCAAACAACACTAATAATAATAATAATAACAATAATAATAACAGTTCTATGCTCCCAACATTATCAAACATTCAATCAATAAATAATAACAGCAACAATAATAACGGAAACGGAAATAATAATTTAAGTAGCAATAATAATAACAACAGCAATAATATGTCTTCAAATAATTTAAATACAGCAAGTAATAGCAATGCGGACTTAGCATCAGCAGCAGCTGCTGTTGTTTTATCATTACAAGGTGCAATGGTAACAAGTTTACAACAAGCAGCACTCTTACCAGCAAATTCAGCAGCTGCTGCTGCATTAAATTTACAAGCTTTAGAATCATATTTAACATTACAACGTATTACTGGAAAAGCTGATGTTTTACGTTTTACTGCTACAGAATCAATACCCGTATCACAACCAATATCATCAACATCTGGTACAATATCTGCTACAACTACTTCAATAGCTGGAAATGCATCTTCATCATCATCTTCATCTTCATCATCAACACATTTATCAAACACTATTATTAGCACATCAAATAATAATCAAAGTACAAATCATCAAAAGCTACCATCATTATTACCATCATTATTACAACGTCATAACAATCGTCATCAGAATCATAGCACAACTATAAATTCGGACAATTCATCAGAATTACAAAATGATAATTTAGCAAATAATAATAATGATGAAATCAATGATTGTGATAATATAAATTCATCTTTATTAGATAATGAGGATCATTTATCATTTGAATCATCATTAGATTCATCAACTGAACAACAATTATTGGTAAATCAATTAGATAATAATACAAATTATTCAAATTTATTATTGAATGCAGCATATCAACAAATTGTTGATCCAATACAATCAGTAATGTTACACGACAAAGTTTTACATGCAGCAATTACCACAACAAATAATAGTAATAATAATAATAAAAAAAATCATCATCATCATCATCACCATCATCAATCTTTAATTAACTCACACCAACAAATATTAAATATAACATCGAATTCTTTAAATCATTTATTAAGTACTTCATCATCATCAGCATCTACTTCGGCTACAACTACATCATCATCCGCAACAAATAATAATATTGTTATACTACAGAGAATATCAACTAACAATAATAATAGTAGTAATACATCTAATACTAAATCTTCAACCACAAATGATTTATTGGATGCTACAACTACAAATATTACATCTAATAATACATCAAGCTCTACATCATCATCATCTGCATCATCAGCAGTAACTGCAGCTGCAACTACAACAGCGACAGCCACAAATGGAAGTCAGCGACCGAAAAAACAATTTATATGCAAATTTTGTAATAGACAATTTACAAAATCATATAATTTATTAATACATGAGCGAACACATACCGATGAACGTCCATATTCGTGTGATATATGCGGAAAAGCTTTTCGTAGACAGGATCACCTTAGGGATCATAGGTAGGTTAACAATAATTCATATCAATCATTATGATTTGCATATTTATATTTTTTTATTAAAATATTTTTTATTTTTTATTATTGTACGTATACACACTTATACACTTAAATATTTGTGTATACACATAGTTAAATAGCATTTCATGCGTGTTAAGTATAATAACCATTTATAATTTTTTGTTAAATTTAAATAGCTTTGTTATTCCATCTCTTACATCAGTACTTGACAACAATGAAACAAATATAGAAAGAAAAATGTTTGTATGTGTACAGTAACAATATGAGATAAAAATGATTTTCAATACAGCATGATTGATTCTCGTAACTTATGTATTATTTGTTTAAATGCACATACAAACATGAATGCATTTACCTGTATAAATACCATGCACATAAATATTTTGCACAAAAATGACAGAATCATTAATAATTTTGATGAGGATTTTTAACTTTTCTTTTACATCTTATGTTCACCTTTGTACATTTTCATTAGAATAAAAGGAATGATTCAACATCAGGATGTTCCATAGGTGAAGACCCCAATTTAAATATTTGTGGTTTCACAATAGTTCTTTTTATATTTTTTGTATGCTTTAATAAACGATTGTCTGTCTACTTTTATTAGATTCTGTGTTCTGTGTTTAAAACGTAAGAATTTTTGAAGAAATTTATCTTTTTTTTCCTTGAATTTAAAATATTATTTGTTTTAGTTCCTGTTGCCGAAAATGACGAAAACAAAACTCTTAATTAGAATTATAAAGTATTTTCCTTAACATTATGAATTATAACTAATTGCTCTCAACTGCTGTTTTATATAGCACACAGAATATTCTTATTATATTATTTAATCTGTTATACTCTCACAAGCAATGGAAAAAGCGTACCATTTCTAATAGATTTTTTCGTCGTACCACCACTAATAAGTTCTCGTTATTACTTTCATTTGTTTGTAATTCGCCTAAAATTATGCAATCGAAAAATATATTTTCCTTTTACGTAGGTATATTTTTAAACAGAATATTAACAATGTTGATGCTTTATGATTGTGTAGATAAACAATGACATTATCTTAAAGCATTCCCATTTAAATGATTTCAAACCGGCTTTCAAGGAAAACTTAACCCAAGATTATTTCACATAAAAAAATTACAAAATAAGATTTGTTTATTTCAACTGATTTTAAATTCTTAAAGTAAACTTATTCGTTTTATTCAAATATTCGGCGTAATTTTGAGCCACTAAAGGCGGATAGGTTACCGTCGAAATATTTAATGGAGGAAAGATTTGATACGACTCCAATTATAACACACAGTATTATTATTTTTCTAAATTTTTCTTCATTGAAATTGAACCTCAAGTTAAATAACAGAGTGTTTGTTATATTTTTCTACCTAAAAGTAAGAAGTAGAAGGAAGAAGAAGTAGAATGTGGTAGATGATAGAAGATTATAGAAAACTCTGTATCTCGGCAAGAATGTATTTCATTTTATATATTATCACTATAATACGGGTATAAACCATCAAAATTTTTGACACCTTAAAAACAAATTACATGCAATATAATTATGTGATAAGAAAGAGAAATTCTAAAATTTTGCCGTCGGCCAATTCACGATATTCTCATTTATATCTATTGTGTATATATTTGTTGTATGTTTGTTTGTGAGTATAAAAGTTAACAACATATAATATATAGTGATGTAATGTATGACATTTATTATTTCTTTCTTAATCTTTTATCTTTAAATATCTTTATAAAAATAATATCGTTAAAAAAAGAACTCTAAAGTAGAACCGTATAATAAGATACCCACTTAAATTTTTTAAGTATAACTAAATAATAACAAGAATATAACAAGAAAATCTATAAAAATCTATAGAATGACAGACATTAAGAGATAAAAGAATAAAATAAAGAAAAATAAAAAAAAAAATTTTTTTGTTTAACTTTATTATTTTTATCTTAGAAAAAATGAAAAAGAAACGAGCTATAATCAACCTGTGTTAAAATTTATGGTCAAGAGTGTTATAATACGATGACTAACGTTATATGGATTTAATTTTATAATATATTTAGATCATGATTAACAAACTAATGGAGTATAAGAAGAAGTTAAAATCAATAAATTAACTTTTGTTTAGTTTCTTTTCATTTCTTTAAGCACATTAAGGTGCCTAATTTATGTCGCCATTTTTCCAGAGTAAAATTAAACGCAGATTCTAAAAATTCTTGCTGCTTCAAAACTAAAAATGCATGACCGATCTCGCTACATGACCACTTATATGAAACACTAAAATTATAAAATTTAGTTTGGATGATTTTTATTAATTCATATTAGCTCTATTAGCTCTACCATATCTCATATAATTTTAATTAATTGAAATAAACCTAAAGTCGATTGAGAGTTATAGTGTCGAAATTAAAGAACGGGCAATGTTAGACATCACAGCCGATAATGTGTTAAAATATTAATAACTTTACCAACATTATATTAAGACTCCTCCTCAAAAGTACAATAAATCGGAAAATAATAAATTCTGTTAAATGGATGGGAATCACAATAACATATAACAATAACATTCTTGTAGAACGTTGAAAAACCAATTGCTGCTAATTTATAGAAGAATTCCTACAATGCATAAAAATTACAAAAAAAAATTAACTTAATTTTAATGTTACACGAGTATGAGAATTAAAAAATTTTGGAGGAAATTTAGGTAGGTGAATAATTTCCAGGCATTAAATTCGAGTATCATATTTTACGTAATGCTCTTATCTTATAGAATTTCATACGTCGCTGAAATTTATGGAACGTTTTATCTTTCGAATAAAAAATATATGAGAAATCTAATAAAAATTTCTCGTAAATTCACAGTTTCAAATTAAAAAATGATGAATCATGAATATACGTTTAATTAAATGCATATAAAATTCCATAAGATAGTCTTTTCATCTGTTTTTCTACTCTTTCTACTCCTCTTTTTATTATAGGGGCATTAAATAACACTTTCCATAACTGCATAGTGTAAAATGCATAAAATAAACTCATTTTAAAATTAGTCAAACTTTAACATTAAAGTTCCATTTATCTTATATTATTAAAATTATTTTTCGCAGCATCTTGATTATAAAATTTAATTTATTATTTTCTTATGTTTCTTTGATTTTAATTTGAATTTATACAATTTAAATTTTAATACCCACAGTAGACCACATTTTATAATAAGATTCTTATTTACACATTCTGAATTTGTGAAATAAGTTTCAACATTCCAAATTTTCTTAAATAATTCCAAATTTTCTCAAATTTTTTAATTCAATTCGCTTCATGCAAATTTATTGCCCTACTTCATGTATAAATGTCATTGTGTAGTGTTATTCTGTACTGTTCATTAAAAATTATTAGAGATTTCGCCCATAAGTATGCAAATTTTCTATGTATCTTATAAAATTATGGGTTGGATCGTTCAAAATCGTTCAAAGATAATTTGAAACTATATACTATTAATTAAATTTATTATGGGTTTCCAAGATCAAAATTATTTTAAAAATCCATTGAAATTCCAAATGTTTGAAATTGTGTTCCCACTGTTTTTCAAAGTCCCACGGAAACTTTGTTGTAGCAATTTGATAAATATTTCATCCTTATGTACGAATTACAATGTACAATCTAAATACAATCTAAAATAATGTTGACTAAACCCAGTTCTAGAACATTTTACACCTATTTTCTTAACACAATTTATTGTCTTTAAGCTATGTACACAATAATGTATGTAATTTTAACTATTTAAATTATGTTATTTGTATGTACAAATTATAGAACTTGCTCCAAAAAAATGTAAAGAAACAATACAATTTTTATTTATTTAAAATTTTTAATATTTTACTTTAAAATTGAATTTAATCTGCTTTTCAAAAAAAAATAGTACTAAAATAATATACCAAAAGAGGAACCAAACAAACATCCAGAATTCACACCAGATTTTAATAAATTCATTGCCTTAAATTCTAATACAATTTAAACATTTTTATAAAAGACTGATTAAAATTTTGCATTATATCAATTACAATTTCTTTAAACAAACATTCAAACATGCAGTGGAAATCTTTTTTGCCACAGAACAACACACTCAACTGTAACGAAAATAAATTAAAAATAATCTTAATATACGTTTTCTTTCATACTACTCTATAAATTCTTCCATCTACCCGTAGAACCATATAACTATTCCACACAAATTTTACCAATTTCCATTTTCTCTGCCTTCTCTTATACTCTATCATTCTACTATATTTTTCCTATCATAATATTTTTTATTTAATAAACGTTTTATATATCGACTTTGAAATACACACGCGCTCACTGAAATCATTTTATTCTGTCCACTTTTTATCACAATAGTTTCCAGTTCTACTTAATAAATGTCCAGCAATTTAAGTAAAAAGCAAAAACCTAACAATAAACTCGGCAATATAAGTACATATAAAAAATAATAATACTAAAAAGAAAAATAATTTTTTAAAAGTTAAAAGGAGATAGAAATATAAAAATAACAAAACCGAAAATATAAAGAAGAAAAACAAAGTAAAAGACAACTACATAAAGAGTGTGTAAGACATTTTCATTTTTTATGATCGAGAGTGTACCATTTCTTGTCATGTTTACACTGAATGCACACGCATGTCAAACCTCATTAAAAATTCATTTGAAGTTATCGGTGATTAATTGCAATTGAAGAATTTTCCTTGTCAAGTTTAAATGTGATATTAAACACACACAACAAAAAAGAAAACAAGACGAAAAACAAATGCTTATAAAAAAACAAGTTCTATTTAAACTAACTCAGTTTGCAAAACCAGCACATTTTATTTAAATATTATAACAATAATGACATTTCGTGTGGTTAAAAGAGGCGGTTTAAAATAGTGATTTCGTGACACACCAATATATTAGCTGTAATTTGTATAAAATTCTAAAAGTGAACATACGATTTTTA